TTNGCTCNTTTNATTCTTGCATAANAANCTCCTTCGATAGNTTCATCATCTGGTAGGTACTTTGCTTCATGTGAGATTAGTGATCCAACGAGATCTGTCACAGTAATCTTTTTTAGATCTTTGGTTTCTTGTATTAAAGCTGCTAACCCGGCATAACTCTTTGGCATCGAGTTTAGTATCTTCCGGATCACTTGATTATTTGTCTTCTCTTCTCCTAGTAAACACATCTGGTTTACCACCTCTTGTACTTTATCTGTGTAATCTCGGATCTTTTCTCCTTCTTTCATCTTCAGATCTTCGAACTCCTAGTTCAAACAATCCAGCCTCACAAGTTTCGCTTGGTCGTTGCCTTGATAGGTTTCTTGTAGCCTTTGCCAAATTTCCTTAGATGTAGTTGCATCAACTACTTTCATTAAAACTAAATCTGTCACAGCCATCTATAACAATTTTAGAGCTTTCATATCTTGCATCTCTTTTTCTTTCCATTCTTCTAATAATTTTTCATTTTTTTCAGGTTTTTCTTTTGCCTTTGGTGGAAGTCCTTCCTCCACAACTTCCCAAGGTCTTGAATCTTTAAAGTAGTTTTTATCCTTTTACCCCAAAGCTCATAGTTTTGCCCATCAAACACTGGAATAGTTACTGTTTACAAAGTTTTGGTCATCTTTTTTATTCTTTTTGTTCTTTTTTCTTCTTCTTTGTTTTTCTTGATTTTCTTTTTTTACTTGATATTCCCTTTTCTTGTATAGAAAATGAATCTATTCCAACATAAACATGGTCAGAACACCTCCATTAGGGATCTCTCCATGGGTTTCTCATCTTTAAAGAAATAGAAAATATTACAAAAGCATAAAAAGAAAAAAAAATAGTCTCCCATTTGAGAAACTCTAAAAAAAAAAGTTGAGAGACTCATTTGGTATATGTCACCATGTGATTGGTTTTGATTTTTCTTTATACTCTAAAATTTAAATTACTAATTGAACTATATTATACCCATTGGGGGACTTCAAGAGTTTCTAACCAATGGTGGTGCTCTAAAAGGACCCCAACATACATATATAATAAGATTAGTTTACACTCGGAATCGCTGCTCCAGAGAAAGAGCCACAGTTTAATCAAAATCTACGATACTGTCAAGTACCCAGGTTCGGCCTTGTGCATGTGCAAGGATTGCATTTATTTGCACATGGCCCATCCGATTTCTTTTTTGTTTTCAACCTAAAAAAATAAAAAATTGGGCACAGATTTTTATTTGTTTTTTGGTTTTTAATTTGAATAAGGTTTTTTTATATTTTTGCCTCTGGGCTTTTGAAGATGTTAAGTCGGGCTTGAAGGTACCTTAGGCCAAATTCAGCAAGACTGAACGGAGCAACCAAACACTATCAGCATCCTACTACGTCATTTCAGAGAGGATTTTTAAAGCTAGCAAAAATCTTCTTACAGATTTGCTCGAGAACTTGCAGCTTCACTTTGATTTGAGAGAAAACAAGACTATACTCGGCAGCTACTGACCTTAGACAATCTTTAGTAGCCTCCCAAATCTTATCAATAAGCGATGATCCTTGGATTTCAACTTCATTGGAGGAAAGTCAAAAAGCCACTTCCATCTTCGCACAAGCCTGTTATTAGACTCAGTCAGCGTTATCTTTTAACTTCTCTTTAAGAATGGTCTTCGACTTTAGATTATTTTTCTTTGAGCCTCAAGAGCATATACTTCTTCATTTTAAACCAAACACTCTCATGACATACAAGCCCGACTCAGTGTAAAATTGGGCCCAATTTTTTCTTTTGGCCTTTAGACCATCTCCAATGGTCCCTCATTTTGAGAGAAAACCTCAAAAAATGAGGGAAGATCCTCTCCAATGGTCCCTCAAAATGAGGGAAAAATAAGTTTGTGAATAGTGTTCCCTCAAATTGAGAAAACACTATTCACAATACTCATTTTAGTATAATATTTTTTTATTTGTACTTTGACTATTCCACTTTTTTGTAACAATATAGCTCTATAAATTACATTAAAAAATCTTTTTAAATACCTTATAAAACTTAAATATATGTGTTTATTTTTATAAATCAGTTTTATAAAACTTATAAATACCTTAAAAAATTACCTCCAATAGTATTAAAAAACTTTTAAACGTATTATTAATATAAATTAATTAAATAGATAATTCAAAGATTAAAAATGCATTAATAACGTATTAAAAGAAATAC